CCTGGACTGCATTGAACCCAGACAACGATGAGTTGGTTAATGATTTTGGACAGGAATCATAAAAGTCAAAGTTTCTTAGATCCTCTTAGCCTCCAGGGAGACCATTATCATTTCTTTGAGAATCACTTACCCTGTTGATATATAAATGGTTAGCTTAATTGAATCTGTTCTGATGCCAAACTTTGCCCATTCCTCAGGGGCCATAAAGCCCAAGTATTCGAGGCCAACACCTTTGTCATTTCCCTGGAATAGGGTATGAACTCCTGAAACCCGAGGTCATTTTCAAGTTGGAGCGAGGAGAAGCACCGTGGATAGAAGATGGAGACGTCCCAGGTTCAGACTCTCCAGGTGAGTGTATAAGAATCGGGCAGATGGGAGTCGGTACAATTACAACCTCAGCTGGGTATTGGGTCAGCATCTTTGAAATGTGCTGTGGAATGCTCCTTTCACATTCTCTAAACCTTTGGCCCCAGCTGCCAAGTAAGTTGGTTTTACATGTGGCTTCTTGCTTTTGGCTAAAGTGAAATGGTTCCAGCTTGTAAGGGCCATGACGTCATCTCTCATCTGTCACATCTTGGGCTTCGACTTTTTGTTTGGTTTTCTGTCTCTGGCATGTTACTCTTATTATGTCCTCCCTTCACCTCTGGTTCATGAAACTTCTGCTTTGTACAGAATTTATATCTTTTTCCTCGTTTTGGGTGTGTCTGATGCCCAGATAAATACTCAGTGAAAGCCCACTGTGTTCAGTCTGACTGTATTAGAGAACAGCCATTATTCCTCCCAAAGAGTTTGTTCTTTTCCTCCCCTTTAAAAAAACAAAATATGTTCTTATTTATTAGAGTGGAAGAGAGAGAAAGAGATAGATAGGAGCATCAGTGAAGAGAGAGAATCATCAATCGGCTGCCTTCTGCATGCCCCACACTTGATCGTGACATCCTGGTTCATAAGTCTATGTTCAAACACACTGAACCATGCTGGTTGGGTTATAACCATGTCATTTTTCTTTCTAGAACAAGACTTTCAAGTAAATAGTCACATGATGTGGAACCTGCATAACCAAGAAAAGCCTAAAAATACGAAACAAGATTGTGAATGTGATGCATTTGGAAAGAATTTTAATCTGAGCATAAAACTTGTTCCTTTAAGGAAATCAAACAATGAAAGTGATGATGTTGATGGATTAACTTTAAAACGTCATTTAGATTTAATTTTTCCAAAAGCTGATTATGGAAAAATAGAACAAGATGACTCAAATAGATTTGATAAATTGTTTCTCCATACCAAGCTTGAGGAAACTGATACTTGGTTAAAACACTGTAAGTGTGATAAATATGATAATGTTAAATATAAGAAGTCACAGATTATCATATATCACAGAAATCGTTTGGGGGAGAAACTGTATGAATGCAGTGAATGTAGGAAACGCTTCAATAAGAAATCAAGTCTCATTAAGCACCAGAGCAGACATATAAGTGAGATAGCCATTGGCTCTGATAAATGTGACAAAACTTTCCCACAGAAGTCACAGTTCATTACACATCACAGAACTCATAGAGGAGAGAAACCTTATAATTGTAGCCAGTGTGGGAAAGCCTTCTCCCAAAAATCACAGCTCGCATCACATCAGAGGACACATACAGGAGAGAAACCATATGAATGTGGTGAATGTGGGAAAACCTTCTCCCGGAAGTCACATCTGATATCACATTGGAGAACACACACAGGAGAAAAACCCTATGTATGCCATGAATGTAAGAGGGCCTTTAGTGAAAAGTCCAATCTTATTAATCATCAGAGAATTCATACAGGAGAGAAACCTTTTGAATGCAGAGAATGTAGAAAAGCTTTTAGCAGGAAGTCACAACTCGTTACACATCACAGGATTCATACAGGAACAAAACCTTATGGATGTAGTGAATGCAGAAAAGCCTTTTTTGAGAAATCAGAGCTTATGAGACATCAGACAGTTCATACTGGAGAGAAGCCCTATGCATGCAGTGAATGTCAGAAAGCATTCCGAGAGAGGTCAAGTCTCATTAATCATCAGAGAACCCACACAGGAGAGAAACCTCATGGATGCATTCAGTGTGGAAAAGCTTTCTCCCAGAAGTCACATCTGATATCACATCAGATGACACACACGGGAGAGAAACCCTTTGTATGCATTAAGTGTGGGAGGGCCTTCAGCAGGAAATCTCAGCTGGTTCGACACCAGAGAACTCACACGGGAGAAAAGCCCTATGAATGCAGTGAATGCGGGAAAGCTTTCAGTGAAAAGTTAAGCCTCACTAATCACCAGAGAATTCACACAGGAGAAAAACCCTATGTGTGCATTGACTGTGGGAAAGCCTTTTGTCAGAAATCACATCTCATATCACATCAGAGGACACATACAGGGGAGAAGCCCTATGAATGCACTGAATGTGGGAAAGCCTTTGGAGAGAAGTCAAGTCTTGCGACTCACTGGAGAACCCACACGGGAGAAAAACCCTATGAATGCAGGGACTGTGAGAAAGCCTTTGCCCAGAAATCACAGCTTAATACTCACCAGAGAATTCACACAGGAGAGAAACCCTATGAATGCAGTCTTTGTCAGAAAGCATTCTTTGAGAAGTCAGAGCTAATTAGACACCAGAGAACTCATACAGGAGAAAAACCGTTTCAATGCAGTGAATGTCAAAAAGCCTTCAGGGAGAAATCAAGTCTCATCAATCATCACAGAATACATACAGGAGAGAAACCATTTGAATGCAAAGAGTGTGGCAAAGCCTTCTCCCGGAAATCACACCTGATACCACACCAGAGGACACACACAGGAGAGAAACCCTATGGGTGCCCTGAATGTAGGAAGGCATTCTCTCAAAAGTCACAGCTGGTTAATCACCAGAGAATTCATACCGGAGAGAAACCTTATCAATGCAATGACTGTGGGAAAGCCTTCTCCCAAAAGTCACAGCTCATTAACCATCATAAAACTCATACCAGAAATAAATCATAGACATTAAGTTAATATAGACAGTTTATAAAAAAAAAAAAAAAAGTTTAAAAGTATTCAAAGGCAGTACACAAAATTTCCATAGTGACTCATGATATACTGAGTGAGCAAAAGGAAGGAGGTGTGTGACCATTTTACTCAGCATTCAGACAATGTGACAGTAGAGCTGTACAAAATCTAATTTTTTTGTGATCTCTCCATGTTTAAAATATATGTAAAGAGTTTTATAAACTAAGTATAGCTTGCATTTTAATTTATTATGATGGAACATGGATTCTGTGAGTTGCTGTTTTTTGGTATTTCAGAAAATACTTTAAAATTAATTTTCCAAAATTTTAGTTTTTAGAGATGAAGGGGAAGAGACATTGATGTATTGTTATATTCTTATTTTTTAAATTTTATTTATTGATTTTAAAAGGAGGAAGAAAAAGGGAAAAACAGATTTGTTGTTTGTTATTTATGCATTCATTGGTTGTTTGTATATGCCCTTAGCAGAGATCAGATCTGCAACCTTAGCCTATTTGGATGACAAATGTTCCTGATATTTTCTTAACAGATAATGTGTTGAAATTTGGAGAGCAGGATGTTTATTGAGGATCAATAAACTTACATAATACCAGATTTATCTGTATTAAAAAGTAGAATGTAGGTCAATAGTCATTTTATAACTATGCTTGGGACCACAGTAATTTGTTATGCATTTTCCCAGAAATATACGAGTATACCCAGTTTGTCAGTTTTATTGTGCTTGTTGGTTTATAAACACAGTACTACTAAAAACAAACAAAATATGATACCAAGCTTTCAGATGGCAGGAGGCAGCTGATGGATGTTTCTCTCTCACCGATGTTTCTCTCTCTCAATTTCTCTTCCTTCCTCTCTGGGGGGGGGGCGGGGGGGGAATAAATATATTTAAAAAAACAAATAGGAAACTTGCTCTGTTCTGTCAGTGAAGTGTGTCAACATTGGGGATCAAGAGCACCCAGTCGCTGGAGGGTCGCTGCTAATGGTGATAGGTCGTCACTGATTCCTAGCTGTGGCACCCACATCACATGTTTTCTGCATCTGAGGGGGGACCTGTCGCTTCCAGCCCCTGGCAGCAAGGCCGCTCCACAGGCCACGTGGTTCTCAGGGATACCAGTTCTCAGAGGTGAGGCATTCCATTTACAGGTTTTCCACTTGAAATTAAGCCCTTTGCAAACAAGTTCACTCTTTTGCAAAGCAATATTCATCCTTTTGGGAATCATATTCCATTTTGGTTGAAAATAGAGTGAAGTAACACAATAAATATTTTTTCCTGATTGCCTTCTTGGTTGGAGCATGCTTTCATGCAACTGTATAGTTGCAGAAAATCTGAAACCATGGAGGGACGTGCTGGGACTGCAGTGAATTCTGGGAATGATAGCTGTGTGAAGGTGGAGCTTTGGGTCTCAGGTTGCAACGCTCAGGAAATTGAGGCTTCTGAGGATAATAGCCTTTGTCTGGAGGCGCCATCACGTCCCCTGCGTGGCTTTCTGGGAGTTTTTGTCTTTGCTGGAAGCTAGCCTATTTTCTCCCTGAGCGCCGAGGCCGCTGTGTATCCTGGGAAATGTAGTCGTCTGAGGATCGGGGTCAGACTGCTTCGTTCCGGTTGTTATTGTCTGTGTGACCGAGAGCCTTTTTTTCTTGAAGCGTGCTGAGGCGAGGGAATCCTAAAGCTCAGTAGTCTGAGGCTCCCAGTGTTTCGTCACTGCTGGCGTGGGGAGTTCTGGGAGTTGTAGTGTGTGATGGGATGTCTGACTTCAATGAAGCGTTGGGGCCGCGGTGTGTCCTGGGGCATGTAGTTCTCTGAGGACAGCCTTTTCCGTTTCTGCGGGCGTGGGGAGTTCTGGGAGTTGTAGTGTGTGACAGGGAGGCGCTCAGACAGCGGTGGGTCTTGGGAAGTGTAGTTGTCAGAGGCCCGGTGTGTCTCTCGTTCCTGGGCGGTTGTGGGAGTTGTAGTGTGTGACGGGAAGCCTTCCGCCCACGCGCGCTGAGGCAGCAGAGTGGCCTGGGAAGTGCGGTTGTCCATGGCCCGCGGTCTGGTCCGGGGGGTCGGGTCCCCGGGGCTCCGGAAGGCGCCGCGTGAACTCCAGGGCGCCCAGTGGAGTCTAGGCTTCTTGGGCCGGAGGTAGGTGAAGACGCCCAACCCTCCTGTGTCGGGATCCCAGCCTGCTGGCCTGGGCCGGACCTGTCCGGAGCCCGGACCCGTCCGAAGCCTGTGATCCATCCGGAGCCCGGAACCCTCTGGAGGCCGGAACCTTCCGGAGCCCGGAACCTCTGGAGCCCGGACCCTTGAGCCCTCCGGAACCCGGAGCCGGGAACCCACGCTGCCGGAATCGCAGAGGAAGTGCCCGTCCTGTGCCCCGGGCTAAGGAGCAGGGTAGGCTGTGCAGGTCCGGCCGGACTCCTGGCCTGAAGGAGCCCTCGCGGGCCCGGGGCTGCTGGGTTCCCGGCCCCCGCGTGACGAGGCCGGTGGACGCGGAGCCACGGGAACGCCCTGAGGCCTCCCTCCTGCCAGCGCTCCCGGTCCACACTGGCTGCCCTCCTCGGCCCCGCGGGAGCCATGTCTCGGGTGAGCGGTGCCTCCTGAGCCCTTTCAGCCCTTAGGGACCCCTGTCCGCCTCGCTCCTCCTCCGGGGCCTGGTTCGTAGGAGGGTGAAGGAGGGCTGACGGGAAGCTGTATTCAGGTGGGCAGGTGTGTTTTAGGGTTGAAAGGGGAGAGCCATGCTGAAACCGGTGTCGCTCAGTGGGTAGAGTGTCAGCCTGTGGACTGAAGGGTCCCGGTTCAATTCCGGTCAAGGGCATGGACCTTGGTTGCGGACACATCCCCGGGTGGGGGACGCGCAGGAGGCAGCTGGTCGATGTTTTTCTCTCCTGGATGTTTCTAACTCTCTATCCCTCTCCCTTCCTCTCTGTAAAAAAATGAATAAAATATATTTTAAGAAAAAAAGTGGGGAGCCAGCTGTGCCTTCTCCCTCCCTCCCTCCCTCGCTCTGTCTCTCTCTCTCTCTCAATATTCGAATGAGAAGCGCTTTATTCCTTTATTCCGTCTCTTGCTCCAACCTTTCTTTCTTTCTTTCTTTCTTTCTTTCTTTCTTTCTTTCTTTCTTTCTTTCTTTCTTTCTTTCTTTCTTTCTTTCTTTCTTTCTTTCTTTCATGTATTCGTCATATTCACACGGAGCATGTATATGCAGCATCTGTATCTGGTCTCAAAGGGTGACCCCTGGACCCGCAGTATGAGCGTCGCCTGAGAGCCCATTAGACATGGATGTTTTTGAGCCCGCCCCCTGCCCCCCAAGACCCCCTAAGCCAGAAGCTGGGCGTCTGGTTAACAGCCCCTCCCTGCTAGGGATGCAGCTGTGAGCAAGATAAAATCTCTGAACTCAGAGCTCATATTTCAGACTTGACATTCAGTGTCTTTTGCAAGGAGCACTGGGTATTTTTGTGTCTAAACGCCCGCCTGGCAATCGTACTTCTCAGAGGCCTTAGCCCCTCTGCTTATAATTCCACGTCTCTCACTTTTTGTCATACTTGTATCCAAACCCAGAGGCTTGCTGGGGAGTCCGATTTCCACCCGAGTTGCACATCCCACCGTTTACTCCAGGAAGCAGCTTCTTTCTGTGACTACATAGTCTTTATCACGTAAAATAATTTTGTTCAGTGTAAAGTATAACTCGGCAAACTCATTAGTCAACAGAGGCAACTATCAACAGGACAACGATTGGAATTTCTTTTGATAGCCAAATTTTTTACACTTAAACTTCTTCAAAATGGACTTGCCCAGGCCATGGTATTTTGTGGAAGAGCCACACTCCAGGGGCCAAAGAGCCGCATGTGGCTCGTGAGCCGCGGTTTGATGACCTCGGGTATAACTTATAAACCTGCCACACATTTGAGGCTACTGGTGTAGGGCCTTTTAACATTCTTTTTCATGCCTAACAGTTACATGGGTCACTCAAGTGGTCAAAACCAGGCCTTCTTGTTCCTGCTAACCTTGAGGGTAAAAGCACTGGGTTCTGGCCCTAGCTGGTTTGGCTCAGCGGATAGAGAGTTGGCCTGAGGACTCAAGGGTCTCAGGTTCGATTCCGCTTAAGGGCATGTACCTTGGTTGCAGGCACATCCTGAGTAGGGGGTGTGCAGGAGGCAACTGATTGATGTTTATCTCTCATGGATGTTTCTGCTTCTCTATACCTCTCCCTTCCTCTCTGTAAAAAAAAAATCAGTAAAATATATTTTTTAAAAATTCTCACCTGAGGGTATTTAAAGAAAACAAAAACAAAACCCAGCACTGGGTTCTGTGCTGAGATGCATTTAGTCCCACCACGGGAGGCCCTGATTCTTTGGGGCTTATTCTCCTTTTTCTGTGCCGTCTCTAAAACGCTGTTTCACAGCTGTTTCTTCAGGAATGGGAGGAGTGTGATAAGCTTGAGAGTGCACGCCTCACTTCAACGATGTTGCTGCTGTCTGCTATAGCCAGTTGTTATAAAAAGGAAATTCTTGCCAAATTATGTTAAAAGAGACTGCTATTTTTAAAAATATATTTTATTGATTTTTTACAGAGAGGAAGGGAGAGGGATAGAGAAGCAGAAACATCGATGAGAGAGAAACATCGATCAGCTGCCTCCTGCACACCCCCTACTGGGGATGTGCCTGCAACCAAGGTACATGCCCTTGACCAGAATCCAACCTGGGACCTTTCAGTCCGCATACCGACGTTCTATCCACTGAGTCAAACCGGTTAGGGCAAGAGACTGCTATTGAGGACACTCTCCAATGACTGTTAAACACAAAGGAATTGTCTTCACTATTCATTCGTGAAGTGATGTGAGCCCTTAAGAGTTTTTACATCCAAAGCCAGAGATCCACGTATAACCCTTTACCTTTCACAAAATTGTGAAATACGTCAGGACATATCGTCTTTTTTTTCCCCATTTTCTCCATTATACAGCAGAACAAATTAGCTCTACTCTTAGTTATACTCTCAGTGGTCACTGAGAGTTTTGTCCACCCTCCTCACTGCAGTCATTTTCCTCCTCGGTCAGGCTTGGTGCCGTTGACAGACCTCCCCTGTCCTTTCAGGGGTCGGTGACGTTCAGAGACGTGGCCATCGACTTCTCCCCAGAGGAGTGGGCCTGGCTCCAGCCGGCTCAGCGGGACCTGTACCGGCACGTCATGCTGGAGAACTACGGCCACCTGGTCTCCCTGGGTGAGTGCTCCTCCCCTCCTGCAGCTGGCACTTGGTGTAGGTGGTGGTGGGAATCCTCATTAACTGGCTGGATGGTCCCAAGGGAGGTATGCTATTTGTTAAAATTGGGTTGTAGGGTTGTGTTTAATTTTTTAGACTTTATATTTTTATTATTGACACTATTACAGATGTCTCCAATTTCCCCCCTTTCCCACCTGCACCCAGGCCCGCAGGCCATCACCTCACTTAGTCTGTGTCTGTGGGTTATTATTCCTTGTTAAGTCAAATGGGCATTGTAACTCCACCTAATCTTTAGACACCTTTCATACCTAAATCTGGCATTTCTTTTAATGGTCCCTCTTTTCTGAGGACTCAAGAACTGATTCTGAATTTATTTTATTTCCTGCAAGCAGGTCTTCACATGTCCAAGCCAGATGTGGTTTCCTTACTGGAGCAAGGGAAAGAGCCCTGGCTGGGGAAAGGAGATGTCAGAACAGCTTTCTTTCCAGGTGAGTGAGTGAGTGAGTTTCCCCTCTGCTATGCACTTCCTGCTGTGTCTATCTCTGCAGCCAAGCAACAAAAAGATAGAAAAAGAAAAAAATGGGTGTCCCTTTTAAATGGGCATTACATGTACGTTTGTGAGCCATCAAATTTTGTGAAGCATGTAATGTTTGTGTCTAGATTCATTTTTATGTATGTGTATTTACAGGTTTTTTTTTAGCGTTATTTAAAAAAAAATTTCTATTGATTTCAGAGAGGAAGGGAGAGGGAGAGAGATACATCAATGATGAGAGAGAATCATAGATCGCTGCCTCCTGCACACTCTGCGGTGGGGGATCGAGCCCACAACCTGGGCATGTACCCACACCAGGAATGGAACTGTGCCCTTCTGGTTCATTAGTCGATGCTCAACCAGTAAACCATGATGGCTGGCTGCAAAATGAATTTTCCTTTTTTAATATCCTCCCCCCCTTTTTTTTTTTTTGACAGGGAATGACAAATATCTATGTGAGAGAAACACATCAATTGGTTGTGTCCTGCACACACCCCACCAAGGCCCGGGCCAAGGAGGAGCCTGCAACCAAGGTACATGCCCTTGACCAGAATCAAACCTGGGAACCTTCAGTCCACAAGCCGATGCTCTATCCACTGAGCCAAATCAACTAGGGTGAAAAATGAATTTTTTAATGTGTAAACTTCCATAAAAGTTGTAAAGCTAATACAAAGAATACCCATATGTTTTTATTTATATTTACATACCGCTAACATTTTGTTCCATTTTTTAAATAATTAGGTATTTTTTTTTCTGGAACTATTTGAGCATAAGTTGTGTACACCATGGACTTTTTTAATCCTACATACCTCATAAGAATAATGATATAAAAGTATATATAGTACATTTAAAAAATATATTATTTTAGAATTCGGTTCCTCCCAAGTGATAAAGTCTCTTTAAAATTTAGACTTGTGCCCTGCAATGTGTTCTGTGCTTGGAGCGTTGGCCCATGCACCAGAGAGTCTTGGGTTCGATTCCCATTCAAGAGCACCTACCTGGGTTGCAGGTTTGAGCCCTGTCCCTAGTTGGGACACATGCAGGAGGCAACTAATTAATGTGTCTCTCTCACTTCCATGTTTGTTTCTCTCTCTCCCTTACCCCCCCTTGGCCCTCTCTCTCCTCCCTCTCCTCTTTTACTCTCTAAAAATCATTGGAAAAAATATCCTCTGATGAGGATTAACAGAACAAAAATTAGCCTTGAGAAAATGGGGGCTTATGTTTGTCTATTAAAACCATCTGATAGAAAGACTGTTATACCAAAGTTAAGCTTCAGATATCAGTTTGGAAAGTAGAGTTAGAGTGAGCATCATAGAGGATGGTTTTCAGAGAAATATCTTTACTTATTTAGAATAAGTTGCTGTAAGATGTTCCAAAAGCACTAGGGTAGGGGTGTCGAACTCATTCAGAGAAGTGGCCAAAATCTAAAATCCAGCCTAAATTGCGGGCCGAATGGTTTACTGAACAATCATAAACTGTCATTGTGATGGAAACGCAGCGGAGTGCAGTGATGACAGCGCGGTGCGGGCCACATTGCAAGGCCTGGCGGGACGGATTTGGCCCGCAGGCCTTGTGTTTGACACATGTGCACTAGGGGAACAGTCGGATGTGTTGGTGGGATCTGAGGAGCACTTGCAGTTTTGTTAGCACTATAACGTTTTTGTTTTCACATCATTCTGGCAGCAAGTAACTGGACGTGAGGAAGACGGTAACAACTCTTCCTTCCCAAGTACTTACCTTCTTCATAGTTCTGTTTTCCCCTCACTCCTTTTTAATCTTTCTCTCTAGTCACCTAAATCTCTCCTCTCTCTGATGTCTCTTGAATTTCTGGGCAGAATGCCTAGATTTCAAAGTCACTTATGACAAATATGAAAACAATTAAGTAATAATTTTTTTCCTCCGAAACCAGTTTTGCTCAGTTGTAGAGCGTCGGTCTGTGGACTGAAAGGTCCCAGGTTTGATTCCGGTCAGGGGCATGTACATGGGTTGTGGGCACATCCCCGGTGGGGGGTGTGCAGGAGGCAGCTAGTCAATGTTTCTTTCTCATTGACGTTTCTGGCTCTCTATCTCTCTCCCTTCCTCTCTGTAAAAAATCAATAATATATAATAAAAAATATTAATTTTTTCCAATTTTAGTTCTCTCATTAAAAAAGGAAAATTGGCTTTTATTTTACTCAATGCAGAAAATAAGAAACATTGCTTTGCTTTTTTTTCTTGTTTCAGAGTCAAATAGTGATATCAGGAAATTTTCTCCAAAAGATGTCATATATGAAGATGACTTATCCCAGTATTTCATAAAGGAGAGGAATCTGAGCCAAGGCCCTGAACATTCCAGTTTTAAAGGAGGTTGGGAATACGAGGATGTTACTGAGATGCTACAAAGAAGTCAGGGATGTATCAGGCAAGTGACAGTCTCTCATCAAGAAGCCCTGACTCCACGCGGTGTCAGTACCGTGGAGAGGCCCTTTGGGTGTCATGAATGTGGGAAAACTTTCAGTCGGCGCTTCTCCCTGGTGTTGCATCAGAGGACTCACACAGGAGAGAAGCCATATGTCTGTAAGGAATGTGGCAAAACCTTTAGTCAGATCTCAAACCTTGTGAAACATCAGATGATACATACTGGAAAGAAACCCCACGAATGTAAGGACTGTAGTAAAACATTCAGTTACCTTTCATTCCTCATTGAACACCAGAGGACACATACTGGGGAGAAACCCTATGAGTGTACTGAATGTGGAAAGGCCTTTAGCCGTGCCTCAAACCTCACTCGACATCAGCGAATTCATGTGGGAAAGAAACAGTATTTATGTAGGAAATGTGGGAAAGCCTTTAGCAGTGGTTCAGAACTCATCCGCCACCAGATCACCCACACTGGAGAGAAACCTTACGAATGCACTGAATGTGGGAAGGCGTTTCGCCGTTCTTCACACCTTACCCGACACCAGAGCATTCACACCACCAAAACCCCCTATGAGTGTGCTGAATGCAGGAAAGCCTTCCGTTGCCACTCCTTCCTTATTAAACATCAGAGAATTCATGCTGGAGAGAAGCTCTACGAATGTGATGAATGTGGCAGAGTTTTCACTTGGCATGCATCCCTCATACAACATATGAAAATTCATACCGGAGAAAAACCCTATGCTTGTACTGGATGTGACAAAACCTTTAGTCGGAGCTTTTCCCTCATCCTACATCAGATAACTCATACTGGGGAGAGGCCCTATGTATGTAAGGTGTGCAATAAATCCTTCAGCTGGAGCTCAAACCTTGCCAAACATCAGAGAACACACACTCTGGGGAATCCCTGTGAATATGAAAATTCATTTAGTTTCCACTCAATCCTTACTGAACACCAGGGAATTCATTTTGTTGAGAAAAATAAAGATGTTTGCATTTAAAAATATAGCAGCTAATGCCTTACTTTGATTTCAGTGCCTTATGTGAATGTGTTAAGGTGTGAAGAATGGCGAAGCCATGTAATCCATGCCTGGAGAAAAACCCCAGGAATATGTGGGGAAGTTATTAAAGCTTTTTTTTTTTTTTTTTTTTTTTGTAATATCAGAAAGTGCATTCACTCATTATAGAGAACACTCTTCTTCTCGTAGGATTTCCTTGTACGTTTATAAACTTCTGCCAGGAAAGGGATACAAGTGCAATGCAAGTGAGAAAGCTTTTAGTTAGAAATTTGCTCTCACCCTGCATTTGTTAATTCAAGCACAACAGAATCATGGGTAAGGGCGCACTTTTTCCTGGTCATCACACAATTCATAATGCAGCAGTCATACATATAAGCAATGATTTGTGAATGCTGCTTTTTTAAATTTTAAAATACTCTCTTAAGGAGAAAAAGTAACCCTATAAATGAATTGGTTATAGGTTGACTTTATGCAATATTTTAAATATATAGAATTATACTGGGGGCACCATTATAATGGGTACAGGTCTGAGAGGGCGTAGAGGAAATACCATTGTGGGAAATTTTTTTTAATTACTGAGAGAATCTTTGTTTAGCTTTTTAAAAAACATTCAAGAGAGAGCTATAAATAAATCTTTCGATATTCTGAAAATTCAAGTATCACAATATTGACAGCAAGAGTAGGTGTTTTTTTTTTGTGGAAACCACAATCGTAGAAACATTTTTAGGTGTCTTGTGGTTTTAACTGAGATAGTTTTTTGACTTAATGTTATGCTAACTCATGTTTATCCTTTAATGTGACTAGACATGTGTTAGTCAGAAATAAATGTAAGTTATATCACAGGAAAATGCCAAGGTAGTGTTCCTCTTTTGTTGCATTTACAGTGAGTACATTTATTTGTAAGTCCATACTTGTGAAAATAAACCATATTATGTTCACTTTGTATGTACACCTTGCCCATTTTTTAATGTCCCAGGTAAAGGTTTATCCTATCTTTGAAGCAACTAAAGTGCCTCTTGTAAGAACTTCCCTCACATCTAGTGTTTGAATAATGCCTCATTTGTTGTTTCATGTATGTAAATCATTCACAAAAGAAGAGGCTAGCATTTTTCTTCCCCATTCAGTGTGACAACAGAACACTTAGCTGTTGCTGAGTAATTACTTGTCTAGAGTGTCCTAACGCCTCAGAGTTGACCAGACAATTCTGTTGTCCACCCTCCCTTTCCTGCAGTGTCCCCAGCACCATGTGAGGTGTGTGTGTGTGTGTGTGTGTGGGCGCATTCTGGTGAACAGGAATGTATTTATCATTTCAGAGGTTTGTAACATTGAGTAATGTTGCCACAGGCTTCTCAGGAGGAGTGGGCTGACTAGATCTTGTCCAAAATAATTTATATGGGAATGAAGTATTGGTGAACTATGGGAAACTTTTCTGAGGTGGTTACCATTCCTTCAAACTCAGAATCTGAATGTAGGTACCTTGGTTAGTTCCATAGGCAGTATTAGGGGCTGGGCTCCAAATTGCCCGGCTGAATTCCTGCTCCATGTTATTTCGATGATTGAAAATGGGTAGAATAGGGAAGTGGATGCATTTCCCCCTGCTCGTGTTCTTGTAACAGCTTTTCTTCCCTAAGATTGGGTCTGGAGCTGAGTAAAACGATAATATTTTGAAGTACCTATTTTCTCTCTCTTGTAAGCAGGACTTTATCTTTCTAAACAAATGTGACCTCCTTATTGGAGCAAGGGAAAGAGTGATGGAGAAAAGAGACAAGAGGTCTACTATCAGGTAAGTGAAGAGCCCTCAGGCAGCAAGTGCCTTTATAGGTTCAGCTCACAGATGTATTACCTGAGTCATGTTATCAAAAATAGTAACTTTCTCTTTCCTGCATGCAGCACCATTCTAAACACAAAGACATAATACAAAACCAAAAGATATTTGGGGGGAGGGGGTATCAAGCGGGGGAAAATTTTAAATAATAAATGTAAAACTTTATATAATAAATAAAAAGATAAATCACAAAATATGACCCAAATCTGCTTCTTTGAAAAGAATAATGTAGATATATATATATATATATATATATATATATATATATATATATATATATATATGTATATGTTGTAGGATGAATAAGAAAATAAAAAGATGGCCTAGATAGGCTATAATCTGAGCTGTGCTTTTTAAACATTACTAGAAAGTTTTTTAAAGTTAATATGAAAATAGCATGAATAATTTAAGCAAGCTTAAAATTTCAGAGATAATGAATAATTTTGGGGAAAACTTAAGTATCCAAAATTGACTAAGAACTAAAAAACAGAAATCAATTAACTATTGTAAAATCAATTGGATCAGAAGTAAAGTACCCGTAAAGATTTTCAGCCCCAAACTGTTTTTAAAATATATATATGTTATTTTTTTTTTACAGAGAAGGGAGAGGGTTAGAGCGTTAGAAACATCGACAAGAGAAACATCGATCAGCTGCCTCTTGCACACCCCCTACTGGGGATGTGCCGGCAACCAAGGTAATTCTGGACACCCAAAAAGTCCTAAGTACAATATGAATATATTGAATATGGCAGTGTAATAAAGTAGTGGTATATCGCACTCAAGCTTGTATTAACCAAGTATACAAGAGTGGCTGAAAAGTAAAAAGGTATTGTTACTATATGTAATAGTGTAATGAACGCTCTTCTACCCATCACTCTATTTTGGGTGAGGCGCCCGCTCTGCTGCCCGTTCCCGCCCTCGAGGCCGCACCTGGGGGGCTGTGCTGGGGCCGCTTCCCACCCGCGCGCGCAGACTTCCCGCGTTCCCAGCCCGGTTCCCGGGCAGAGCCCGCCCAGCTCCAGCAGCACTCGGCTGCCCGCTCCCCATCCTTCCCTTTTCTCCCCTCCGCTCCCCTTCCTCGCTTTCCTTCCCTTCCCGCGCCCCCCCCCCCCCCTCCCGAGTCCACCGGCCCCATCGCGCTCACCTGTCTGGGCACCTGCCTCTCCGCGTCCGAACCCCGGGCTGCCGCGAGGAGGGGAGGAGATCGCCCCCGCGCCCCGGGAGCGCTGGGAGAAGGACGTGGCTTGGGGCTCTGGGCGCGCTCGGGCTGGGACTACATTTCCCATGAGTCCTCGCGCCGCATCGCGGAGGCATTGTGGGATCGCGTCCCCCCGCAGCTCCGGAGCGAGGGGCCGCGGCGCCGGACGGGAGGTGCGGGTCGCCAGGTGCGTGGGGCCGGGGCGGCGGGCCAGGGGGTCGGGGGGCGCGTGGAAGGGATGGCGGGGCGGGGGGGACGCCGGTCCGGCACTCCGCCTGCCGAGCCCGGGCGCAGCGGGACGGGGCTCCGCCTGTGACGGGGTCGCGCCCCGCGGCTCCTCCGGCCCCGGCCTCCCGGACGGTGCAGGGTCGCCCCTGGGATGGCGGCCCCGAGCCTCGCGGCGCCGGCGGACAGCGATGTCGTAGCGAACAGCTTTCCTTACGGGCTTCCCCTGAGGGAGGGACGACTCCCCAACACCTCCTCCTCTTTTCCTTCCCGGTTCCTCCGGATTCTCCCGCAGTGCGACCCACGGCCCCGGCTCCGGGGGTGCGGGGGCTCCCCTCTGGCCGGTCCGGGCGGCCTCCCGGCGTCCCCGGCGGCGGGGCCTCCTCCTGGCAGAGGAGGGCGTCTCTGAAAAGCTCCGGGTTTGTTCCCGGGAGAGATCCGACGTGGCTGCCCGTTTGCTAGGTGTGCTGGGTGCCCTGGACAGTGTGTGCCCGTTATAAAGGAATAGCTTGCTAGCACACACCTCATTTTCCAAATGGAAAGGAGCCTAAACCACCAGCTGTCCCTGTGTCGCCCTGTGTATGTCACTGGGTCATACAGACCCGAGGACAGTGTGGAGTCACGTGCTAGCCCCGTGATGACCTACATCTGCTCTCAGACTTTTGGCGGACCAGTTTGGTCTGAAATATTCATTTAAAATGTCAGTCATTAGCCGAAACCGGTTTTGCTCAGTGGATAGAGCGTTGGCTTGGGGACTGAAGGGTCCCGGGTTTGATTCCGGTCAAGGGCATGTACCTTGGCTGCGGGCATATCCCCAGTAGGGGGTGTGCAAGAGGCAGCTGATCGAAGACTCTCTCTCATAGATGTTTCTAGCTCTCTCTCTCTCTCCCTTCCTCCCTGTACAAAATCAATAAAATATATATTTAAAAAAATGTCAGTCATTAATATTTTCAATGTTCAAGATCAAGCAGTTGCCCTTTGCAGATGCCAAATATTCATGAGTTTATTCAGAGTGTAAACAGATTTTTTTATTTCCCACCTGTTCTCCTTCATTAGGAAGTGTGTTCTTCGTGACTCAGTGATTGAGCGTGGACCCAGGAGGTCCGGGTTGGACTCCCCATCAGGGCACATGCTGGGCGTGCAGGAGGCAGCCAGGGGCGGTCTGCTGTCGGATCTTTCTCTCTATCCCTCTCCCTTCCTCTCTGAAATCAATTAAAAAAAATATTCTTAAAACATTAAAAAGAAAATAACATATTAAAGAAGAGCACAAAGCAAATGCCCCATACCCCTGAGTGAAGGATTGCCCCTGACTAGGTCTTGCCGGTAAGGATGGGTCCTGTGGCTGGTGTCAGAGCCCCCTTTGTTCTCTCTGTTCAGCCCATGGTGCTGCGTGTACCGGGGACCATGGGAGCCAAGAGGAAGAAACATGACACCATCCCAGAGAAATCGGAATGGCACAGGAAGGGAAGACACTGATCCTGCAGGCTGTATTGGGTTTTTGCAAGAGGCAAGAAAGGGAACAGCATTCCTGACATAAGAACAGCATGGGTTACCATGGTGATGGGAGGAAGGGTGGGTAGTGTGATGGAACGTTTAGGGCCAGTGAGATAGACGGAGAAGGGCCCAACCCAAAAATCCATGCTAAGGACTCCCTCAATTTCCCTGTCCGTTCTGGGAGACCAGCAGAGAATCGAGGAGTGAAATTGGTGTTTTACAGAAATGATACTGATGTAGACACTCACTGCAGTGGGAGAGGCAGAGGCAGAAAGCCACCTTGGATGTCTAAGTCGAGAATTTCGAGGGCTTGAACCAAGCACAGCCGCAGGAATGTAGGCATGGTGTTTAGGAGAGAAGTTGACAGGATGTAATGACTGACTGGGTGTTGAGAAAACAAAGTGGAGAAAGGCACTGCCACTGCTGTGCCGGTAGCTGTCCCATGTTGCTGTTCATTTGAGAAGGAACGTGCCTTATAGGGGGGTGTTCCGGAGTGGGAAGGAATTGCTGCATGAAAGGGAGTGGCGTGACGTGTGTATAACTGACAAGTTGGAGGCGGTCCTCGGCCTCTTTCACGGTGTTGGGACCGGCTGTCCCAGGAAGTTTCAGGCTGCACGCTGGCTCCTTGGGCGAGTTCTGCACGGGCCACGCAGGGTCCAGCCAGCTCTTCCCACAGCGGGAGCCGAACAGGCCGCCTTTCCTTTGACATCTAGTTCTCTGCTTCAATCATGTCCACTTGGTTTTGCTAACGTCTTACATGGCATCTTTTATTACTTTAAGGGATGAAAGTCTTTCAAAACTTGAAATAAAAAGCAAAGTAATTTTACTTCCTACATTCACATGGAAAATAAATTGCCAGTCATCTCTCTCAGAGCAATGGCTAATAGTACGAGGAGATAACTCAGGAACAGCAAGGTGTGAGTGCTGCGTAGGACAGGCCGTGTGGAAGGGTCTTCCCTGCATCAGCACAGGTTCACCAACAGGAAGAAGCTGCCAATTGTTTTCTTAATTAACAAGTAATTCTCACCCCGTGTCTGGCAGTGTTCTGTTCAATATTTACAAATATTGACTCATTTAAAGATCATAGTGACCCTGTGAAGTAGGCACTAGTTTATTCCCAATGTACAGATGAAGAGACTGGGAGATTGAAAGGTTAAGAAACGACCTCGTCAGTCACAGAGCAGGTTTCGGAACCCAGGTGGTCTGGCTGTAGAGTCCGTACTGTGTGCCTCCATAATTGAGGTCAGGGATGGGATAGAAGAAATAGTGGTGTGTTGTTTATAGACAGTTGGTCCCATGGTTTGCCCTACGATGGGATAAACAGTGGGGACGAAGCAAGTAGGTGTGTTGTGCCCTGAAGATACCCTGAGCCTCATTGAAAATACAGACTTGAAAAGACGGAGGATGCGATGGTTAACCTAATCTTAATTTTTGAAATAGAAAAGACTAGGAAGCACCAAAGATGAAAACAAGGAGAAGGAAGCAAAGTAACTAAAGAGTTTCAAGAACAGGTGAGAGGCGAGCAGGGCCCTCTGTAACAGGTGTCACTGATGAGGCTCGATCAGTGGTGTAGGGTGCAGAAGCCACAGTGCTTTTCTTTGTGTAAATGTGTATAAAGTTGAAGTGGAAATTGTTAACATCTATAGAAAAGAAAGGGGGAAATCATACTAAAGAGAATAAAATACAAAAGAACTACAAATGTAGACAAAATAAAAAATTTTTAACACAGTAATCAACAGATTGAAATTTAAAATATAGTCTAAATTTAAAACAAGTAAAAAATGCAATGTTTATAGACTTCTGCTTCTGCTCAAGATGGAGTAACAGGGAGTGGATTTATCTTCTTGCCCCAACAACTCAACAGCAAAAAGGCAAAGTACACGAAACAATTGTTTGAAGACACTGGATGTCAGACAATGCAGGACAGTCATCCCTGTGAGATGGAAAACCAACGAGGTAAGCCCTCTGACCGCCCCAGCGTATTGTCTGGAGAGGGTGTGCAGGTGCCAGGAGAGGAGTGAAGCTGCCATGGAGCCAGCAGGCTCCCGCGTGTTGGGCGGGAGCAGTATCTAGAACACAGTGAAGGGAAAATCAACTGTCTATAGCCGATAGTCAGCAAGAATAGATTTCAACAGCAAAGGTAAGGTAATGTATTGAATGGGAGGAAGTGTTATTTATATGTATTGACTTTTAGAGAGAGAGGAAGGGAGAGAGGAACAATAGAAGCATTGATGAGAAAGGAACATCATCAATCGGTTGCCTCCTGCACGCCCCCACGAGGGATCAAACCTCAAGCCTGGCAGGTGCCCTGACCAGGAATCAAAGCAGCAACCTCCTGGTTCCTCGGTAGATGCTCAATCACAGCCATATCAGTTGGGTGGGAGGGAATATTTAGAAATCATGTATACCTGATGCTGGTTTCATATACAGAATAAAGAAATACAACCTAACAGCAAAAGTCAAACAAACCAAATTTAAAATGGGCAGAGACCTGGAACAGACATTTCTCCAAAGAAGGTCATACAAAATGGCTAAAGCACAGAAAAGTAAAGGGAAAGGCCATCTACATACCTTTTTCTTCCTACTCCTGGGAACTTCCGGAGTATCTCTGTTGTCCTCCGTGGTGGTTTCTGAGTTTATCCTGCTTGGAAGAGGGGGGTCTAGGCTGAGGACTTATGAAGAGTCCCAGGCACAGCTAACTTTCCTCAGCTTTGTCTTTTCTCCAGCTTTGTCTTCTCGGATCTTTCATTATTCAAGAAAGCATCAGCAAGCACACAGAGGGCATGGAAACCAAGCCACTCACTGCCCGGTTCCCGGTAAGCTGAGCAGCCTTCTGTGTTTGATTTCCAACTGAGATTCTCTTTTTGTTTAAGTTCTGATGTTCCTTTGCCTAGAACAGTGGTCGGCAAACTCAGTCAACAGAGCGGCAAACTGCGGCTAACGAGTCTCATGTGACTGGAGAACCGCAGTTTGCCCACCACTGGCCCTAGACCTTCAGCAATTGTATCTCAGACATTCTTCTTCAAGAGACTATCACCATTTGTTTGTTTTACTGGTAGAAATTTTTTTATTTCATATAAAAAAAAACAACCCTCAAGTTTATGAGCAATGTGGTCAAAAGTCAAGTTTATGAGCAATGTGGTCAATAGTCAAGTTTATGGGCAATGTGGTCAATAGTCAAGTGAGGTAAAGTTGAGGAATGAAGCACTTTGTCCGCACTTTTAAATGAAAGAGTTTCTTCCAGTTTTAAACCTAAAGCATAGCAGAACTGGTTTTGGGACATTAAGTATCTTTTAAGACTTGATCAGAATCCAACACAAATACTACTGACTCCTAAATAAATTTCCCTCCCCCAGGGCTCTCTGTCTAAGCTCTGTCAGGATTCAGGAAAGGGAGGGCAGAGACAATCTGGCTCAGTACAAACGTGTTTCATGTTGTAGGCACTGGTGACCTTCAAAGATGTACTTGTGAACTTCACCAGGGAGGAGTGGGAGCTCCTGGACGCTGCGCAGCAGGTCATGTACAGAGATGTGATGTTGGAGAACTACAGTAATCTGGTTTCCTTGGGTAAGACTAACCTTTTTGAAGATGCACTGCCTGTGATGGTTTGGGTACTTCATTGATCAAAAGGTGTGAAGATCCTGAAGCATGTATAAGTTGAGTTTGGGCTCAGGGACCTAATATCTTTGGGGCATAGAATAAAGTTTTTATACTCCTTTTTAGTGGGGGGAAATTTTGTTTTGATTTGTTGAATTTATAAAATACACATTTTGCTGTCTCTAGCCTTGCCTTATCTGCTCTTCAGAATTACCCATGGCTGGGGATGGTGTTGAATCTGAGATACTTCTCTGGGTCCAGCTCAGAGTTCTCCAATCCTTATCCAATTTGGTATCTTTCACTGTGAATAGGACATCAACTTCCCAAGCCAGATGTGATCCTCCAGTTGGAAAAAGGGGAAGAGCCATGGCTGTTGGAGAGAAGGATTCACCAAGATGCCCATCCAGGTGAGGACCAGACAAGATGCATTTCAGGCAGTAGCCTAGATAGCCCAGCTTCCTGGAGATAGTGGTCACTAGTCCTTATTTCTGAGGAATAAGAACTAGTGACCAACTCTTAGCATCCCCATTCTCTCATTTTCACAGAATCATTTTTCTGTCTTTGCCTGTCTTTTACCTTTCTCGTGGTGCTTCCCACAGCCTGTGTGTGTAGGCTGGGGACCCCAGGACCCGCCCCTGACTGAGTTAGGAAACTGCAGCAGAGCCCATCTGTTCCTGCTGCTCGATTCCTCCTCCCCAGAACAGGCACCAATGTTCTCACAACACTCTTGCTCTTCATTTAATCTATTTTCAAATTATACCTATTTATTTTCATTTTCCTCTGTAAAATGCAAATTATTATGTGAATTTCTAACATCACTTGTATTCTCTACTTCCCTGTGTTCAGAAAATCAGCCTTCTATGTTAAGAGAGAAAGTACTCTTTAGTTTTCCTCCTCCTTTGTTCTCTGTAAGTGATCTTGTCACAGATTTTCATTTCTGAGTTCAAAACTCAGACATTTTCCCCCTCAGCCCTCTTTGGTGTTGCTTGTCTGAGTCATGCTGCTAATACCCTACTTAACCTGTGCCGAACGGCCAGGTCACTTACTAGTGACCCCTTTGGGGTTAGTTCAGACACACAGCTTTCTAAGGCCCGCGCAGCCTGTATTCATTTCTGTCTGATACCTCATAAGTCTGGCCGGTGTTTCCCTGCATCTCAGGCTGTAGTGCTTTGGTGATAAGAGGCATTGCCTGACATGACTGCATTCATGGTTTAAAAACTATATTGGCAGTAGTGTGAAGAATGCATGTCATGGGGCGGGCCAGGCAACAAATAGACATATTAAATTCTATGTCATAAATAGTAGGATTAAGTAATGGGAGTGCAAACCTCTCTGTGGGATTTCTTTTTTTGTCCCCCTCCCCCACTTCACTGAATATCCTGATTCCAGTCCTATGCTTTCTCCTTAGTCTCTCTGCTGCTTTTATGTACTGTGTTACCTAGCACATTTTCTGTGTACTGCTGTACTCATCTCTGTCAAGGTTTCAGAGCCATGTTTGAAAGCAATTCTATATGTCATATTTTGTCTCCACTTACATCCCAACATTCTAATGTATTTTTTTTTAGTTATGTAAACCTTTTTAATTTATTTCAGGTTCGGATACTCCAGTTGAAATTAAATCATTTTCCAATAAGAGCATTTCTAAAAATAAACAATCCCATGAAATTAAAAAGGAAGGAATGGCCAAGAGTGATCTGTGGTATCTGTCATTAGAAGAAGTCTGGAAATGTGAAGATCAGCTGGACAAGTATCAGAAAAACCAGGAGAAACATTTGAGGCAAGTGGCATTTATACAAAAGGAAGTATTTTCTCCAGAAAGAGTCCTTGAATGTGGTAAATTCAGGGAAAACGGTCTTCTTCCTGGTCAGCTAGTACTGAGAGAGTATTTCCATAAACAAGACTCAAGTACTAAAAGTTCAAAAGGTGATTTAGTTATTACTGGTCATCAAGAAAGCTCTGCAAGTAATAGTAGTGAATGTGGCCAAACCTTCTGTCGGAACATTCACCGTATACAATTTTCAAAAACTCAAACAGGAGATAAATCCTACAAATGCCCCAAGAATGATAACTCTCATAGGCATGGCACATCCCATGGGATATCCAAGAGCATATATAGAGAGAAACCTTATGAATGTAAGGAATGTGGAAAATTCTTCAGTTGGCGTTCTAATCTTACCAGGCACCGGCTTATTCATACTGGAGAAAAACCCTATGAATGTAAAGAATGTGGAAAATTTTTCAGCCGTAGTTCTCATCTCATTGGACATCAAAAGACTCACACTGGTGAGGAACCCTATGAATGTAAAGAATGTGGGAAATCCTTTAGCTGGTTCTCTCACCTTGTTACCCATCAGAGAACTCATACGGGAGACAAACTGTACACATGTAATCAGTGTGGGAAATCTTTTGTTCATAGCTCCAGGCTTATTAGGCACCGTAGAACTCATACTGGAGAAAAACCTTATGAATGTTCTGAATGTGGGAAATCTTTCAGACAGAGCACACATCTCATTTTGCATCAGAGAACGCATGTTCGAGTGAGGCCCTATGAATGCAATGAATGTGGGAAGTCTTATAGCCAGAGATCGCACCTCGTTGTGCACCATAGAACTCACACTGGACTGAAACCCTTTGAGTGTAAAGATTGTGGAAAATGCTTTAGTCGAAGTTCTCACCTTTTCTCACACCAGAGAACCCACACTGGAGAGAAACCATACAAGTGTCATGATTGTGGAAAATCCTTCAGCCAGAGTTCTGCCCTCATTGTGCATCAGAGAATTCATACTGGAGAGAAACCATATGAATGTTGTCAGTGTAAGAAAGCCTTCATTCGGAAGAATGACCTTATTAAGCATCAGAGGATCCATATTGGAGAAGAGACTTATAAATGTAACGGTTGTGGAATTACTTTCGTCAAGAACTCTCCATTTATAGTACATCAAATAGCTCACACTGGAGAGCAGTTCCTAATCTGTAATCAGTGTGAGACAGCACTTGGTAATAGCCCTACTTTTATTAAATACCAGACAAGTGGTATTAGAGAAAGTACACATTAATATAATGGATATGAAAAACTGTTCACCAAGAATAGTAACAGCTTTGAAGAACCCTCTGGAGAGAAGCTGTACAGATGTAATCCATGGGGACAGCCTTTCAGTCTTTTACTATTTGTTTTTTTGCACTAGAGAATTGTTCTTGGGGGGACAGGGGGACCCCGCAGATTTTACTTTCGTATACAAACACTTGAGATTTTCTTCTTTCCACAACACTCTATGTAGATTTAAAAGTCCCAAATGGAATAACAAAATGCATGTCATCGTGGGTCCCCAAGGTCGTATGAGAAGTAGGAGGTGGTCAGAGAAAGCTAAAAAATAAAAGATGGTCCTTTTCCAAGTGTAAGGCAGATGCTATTGGAAGTCAGGAAGGTGGACAATAGCTAAAGGAACCTCGTTAGAGGCGATCTGAGCTTTTAGTCGGCGTGCTGGGTAAAGGACACAGAACACACCATCCCTGGCCTGTTGCACCCCCGCCCCCTAAGGTATATGAAAACCACCCCCAATGCACTAAGGGCTTTATACTGCAGAACGTGGGAGGAGGTTTGGGAGAGCTGAGACGGGCCTTCACAGGGGGGAAAGCTGAGGGATCCCTGCACCCCGGAAAAGCACGTGGGCTGCATGTCCCGTGAGCACATGCAGACCAAGCACTTCCAGGTTCCGACCCAGACCTCCTGCCCTCGGAAAAGACGGAAGAAGTGAACTAAATCTAACCTTAAATTGCAACAAAGTCCGTGCCAGGTAAGTGCATGCCAGACTGATCCTGTACCAGCCATTTTCCTAGTGTAACCCTGACATTTGGCAATATGTACCCTTTACCGGAAATGCCCAGGTCAAAGGAAATTGTCTGAATAAAGAGAGTATTAATTCTAAAAGTGTTACATCACCAAAAATAAGTCCTATGTGTACATGCGCTTAACACTAAAGCCTAGAAACCATGAAGTGGACGCGAGGGGATGCGCTCCATAGTGGCGGTGGGACAGCTTTTCAGTAATTTGGAGAACGGACCAGCTGTCTGTCTCTGGGCCGGGCCTCCGGCGGCAGTTGGGAAGCTGAGAACTTCCTCCTGGCGACGCCCAGCCACCCCCTGAGCGCCGTCGGCCGCCGCCCGCCCGGCGCGCTGGGCTCTCAGCTCCGTCCCGAGCGGGCAGGGCCGGGCGTCAGCGGTGCCAGGGCTCAGGCCGGGCAGCGAGGGCCCCGATGTGAGCCCTGGCGTGGGGATGGGGGACCCTGGGCGTCGGGTTGGGGGGGTGCCTGGGGGTGGGGGTCAGTGCGGTGGGGATGGGGGTCGCTGGGCGCAGTAGGTCCCACTCCGGAGCCAGGAGCCCTGGTCCCCGCGGCCGCTGCGCCCCCCTTGCCCCCGGCTCTGGGTTCGAAAGGCGCAGTCGCCCCGCGGGGCCGGGAGCCGGTGGGGGTCGCAGGAGGCCCCATCGGGGTGTCTGCCCCCAAAGGGGTGTCTGCCGCCCGCGGGGACCAGGCCAACCCCAAGGTCCACCCACCCGGAGCCCGGGGTCAGCCAGGGGCCGCCGCTTCCTCCCGCCCCCGCCTCCGGGGCGCCTCCCTGGCGTGTGGGCGGCGGCGCCCAGTCCCCCCGACGACCCCCTTCTCTCCCCGGACCTGCCCCCGCCCCCCGCCCCTCGGACCTGCCCCCGCCCGGCACCACGAGCCAGGCAGACGGCACCCCGAACCCAGGACCCTGCGCACCCCGGGCTGCAGGGCCCAGGCACCGGGGCACCCACCCTCGGGGGCCGCCGGGCGGGCGCCTCCCCCCGGAGGGGCCGCCGCCTCGATACTTTGTAGCGGCCGCGCCTTCCGCCGCCGGACGGACGCCCCTTGGCGCCTCCGCGGAACCGCGGCCGAGCACGTGCGGAGGCGGCGGGCGGGGAGGGGACCCCGGGGCCGCAGAGCAGCCTGGCGTCCGGGAGCCGCGCCGGCGGGGAAGGTAGGGGCCCCGGGGAGGGAGGGGTCCGGCCCCGGCCGCCTCCCGGGGCGCGGGCTCCGGGCGGCCCGGGTCCTGAGCGGAGCTCCCCCGCCGTCCGCGTCCCGGGGCCTCGGCGCCGCGGGGACCAGGGCCGCCCGGGAGCAGCGCGCGGGGAGCCGGGCCCGCGGAGGGGACGCCCCTTCGGCGGCTCAGCCCCGGACGCCGGTTTTCGCTCCGAAACGCGGTCACCGGCTCCGAACCGTCCGGTCCGCGGGCGCCCGGTTGCGGGGCCGGACCCACCGCGGCCGGAGACGCCGTGGTCCCGGCGGACCAGGTCCCGCGGCTCAATGGGAGCTTGTGTGTGGGTTTGTGTAGAAGAGAAGCTCCCCAAGCCTCCGGGTCCGGCCACAGCGCCCATGGTTGGGGGGGTCCGGCCACAGCGCCCATGGGTGGGGGGGCGGGGCGGTCCGGCCACAGTGCCCATGGGTGGGGGGGAGGGGCGGTCCGTCCACAGCGCCCATGGGGGGTGCACAGAGGCTTTGGGGCAGCGGGTCAGCCGGCCCGGGAGGCGGCCTCACCCGCTCCCCGCAGGTGCTGTTCCTCTCCTTCAGCGTCTGTGACTAGGGCACCTTCACATCGCTGTGCTTTCCACCTGATGCGTTTGAGGGTTTTGTTTCCCCCCCAAAAAATTAAAATAGTTAAAACCAGGCGGTGCTAGTCCTGTTCCCTGGCCCCAAGGCCCTTCCGATATGAGTGTAAACGGCGTCTGCCCAGCCCGAGGCCTGGGGCGAGGCCTCCTAGGCTGGGAGAGGTGTTGGCATCTGCGGGCAGGTCCTGGGGAAACCCCAACACCCAGGTCCCTGCCCCACCGAGCCAGAGGAGGGAAACAAACCCTAACCACCATGCAGAGAAGGGCGGGTGCACCCAGGGTCCGAGGACAGAGGGGGGCCCCAGGGCGGGGGGAGGCGCAGGGGAGTGAGGGACAGCACCCCATTCAGCCGGGTGCACAATGTGGGGCCAGACCGATTGGAGGGACTGAAAGGCATGCCCTGGGCCTGTCCCCGCCTTCCTCAGTGACCGCTCACTAGGGACGCCTGACCTGCGCCCGTAGCCAGAGGGGCCGCTCCTAGCCGGCCTGAGGGCTCCTGTCCCGTCAGCCCGGGTCCGAGCCGCCGTCGTGACGCCTGCCGCCTTGTTCGCAGAGGGACGCGGGCCCAGGATGCAGAGCTTCCTGCAGCTGCTGCGGGAGGGCGGGGGCGGCCCGCCCGTGGAGGAGTTGGTGAGCCTGGCCGGCAGGCTGTGCCGGGACCTGCGGGATGACCTCGCCCGGGCGCAGCCCCTGGTCTCAGCCGTGCTGGAGAGCCAGCTCCGCCCGCGCCTCCTGGACAACCAGGACGTGGCCCTGGTGTGCGCCCGTGTGCTGGCCCAGCAGGAGCAGCACCAGGCCGCCTGCCGGCTGCTGGAGGTAGGACCCGCGTGGAGGGGGTGGGAGGTGCGGAGAGCGGGCGCATCCTGAGCCGCCGGCCAGAGCGAGGGAGAGAGGTTCTGTCAACAAGCCGGGTCGGTCCCCTCTCACCTCGCCGAGGTCCGAACAGCGTGACAATCCGAGGGAAACGGCCCATCGATGAGATCCTCACGGAGTGGGGGTCCCAGCGTGGCTTGTCGGCTACCAGTCGAGTAGCCAGCCACGGAGCAGGCCCGGACTTCTGTCCCTGAGCCTCTCAGAACTCAGAAAACAGAACCATCTGTGCCACTCGCCTGGGGGCACGGGAGCCTCCCTCATTCGCCACAAAACGCACACGGTTCAGGTCAGGCCGCCCGCCGGCAGGGAGAGCCTTGGCTTAACGATGCGGCCGAGGCCGACGGCGGATCCAGCAGAGTCAGTCACCGCCAGCCATACGCTCTTCCTGGCGATCTGCACCTCCCCCGCCAAGACGGCGCTGGGAACTCGGCGAAAGAGGCGACGCACTCACCCACGGGCCCCAGGGGAGGCTGGGCCAGGCGTCCTCCCTCTCCAAAGCGTGGTCATTGGTACAGGTCCCCCGGGGCTTCGCCCCACCTCCTTGCTGGCAGGAGACACGGCTCTTCCCAGGAGACACATGTGGTCGCCAATGACAACAGCGCCGCCTCCCGGTGGTCACCAGCCATGGCCTCCCTGCCCTTCCCCCTGCTCCTCAGCCCAAGGAGGACGGAGCTGCGCCCGCCTCGCGAGCTGGGGGGAGGCTGACATGCTGGTGTGAGTGGTGCCGGCTGGGCCTCCAGGTGCGGACCATGTGGCCTCGCCCCGCTGGCCGGCCCGTCCCTGAGCTGCTCCTCCCGAGGCTAGGTCCGGGCGATGGCAGGGCCAGGCTGTGAGGTGCGGGCCTCAGCGGGCTCTGCTCCACAGGGGTGCTGGGTGCTGGGTGCCAGGAGGCAGTCAGGGGCCCAGGCTGTGAGGTGCCGGCCTCAGCGGGCTCTTGTCCACAGGGTGCTGGGTGCCGGCCTCATCGGGCTATTGTCCACAGGGTGCTGGCCTCATCGGGCTGTTGTCCACGGTGCTTGGTGTCGGGTCTCAGCAGGCTCCTCTCCACAGGGGTGCTGGGTGCTGGGAGGCCACCAGGGGCCAGACTATGAGGTGCTGGGTCTCAGTGGGCCCTTGTCCACAGGGTGCTGTGTGATGGGTGCCAGGTCTTAGCGTGCTCCTCTCCACAGGGGTGCTGGGTGCCGGGAGGCAGCCAGGAGCTGGTGCAGCTCTGGAACGATATCCACTACCACTTGGCCATGAAGAGACTGGGCGTGGCCACGCTGACCTCCGTGCAAAAGTTCCGCTGCAGGAAGAGGTGGGCGGCGAGCGTCTGTGTGTGTGGGTATGTCTGTGTGTGTGTGTGTGTGTCTTTGTGTCTGTTTGTGTGTGTGTGTGTGTGTGTGTGTGTGTATGTGTATGAGTGTGAGTGTGAGTGTGTGTGTGCCGTGTGTATGTGTGTGTGTGTGTCTCTGTGTGTGTCTGTGTGTCTGTGTGTCTGTTTGTGTGTGTGTGTGTGTGTGTGTGTGCTTCTGTGTGTCTGTGTGTCTGTTTGGGTATGTGTGTGTGTGTGTCTGTGTGTGTGTGTGTATGTGGGTGTGTGTATGTGTATGAGTTTGAGTGTGAGTGTGTGTGTGCCGTGTGTATGTGTGTGTGTGTGCGCGCGCGTGTGAGTGTGTGTGTGGGGGCAGGCTCCTGGAATAGCACAGGGCGGCACTGTCCCCAGCATCACGGTGCAGGCAGGATGGGGTGGGGGATGTGGGGAGGGCGAGGGACAGGCTCACGTGGGGTTTGGGGTGAGTGGGGTGCCGTTTTGGCATCCAGGACAGTTGTTCAGTTGGTGTTTTTGATGTTAAGTTTCTCTGTAGACGTGTGCTATTTGTTTAGACGTCACTATTTCCTTTTAAAATAATTCATTTCCGCCGAAACGGGTGTGGTTCAGTGGATAGAGCGTCAGTCTGTGGACTGAAAGGTCCCAGGTTCTATTCCGGTCAAGGGCATGTACCTTGGTTGCAGTAGGGGGTGTGCAGGAGGCAGAGGAGCGATGATTCTCTCTCATCTATGTATCTAACTATCCCTCTCTCTTCCTCTCTGTAAAAAATCAATAAAATATATTTAAAAAAATAAAATAAAACTCATTTCCACAATGACCAAGCATAACTCACTCGGCATCCTCCGCACGCGGCTCTCCCAGTTCTTGGCCATTTTGGTCCGGGGAGCCATCCCCCCTTCAGGGGATGTGCCCCTGTGACCTGGCAGCATAGAAACGAGGAACAGCGGCCGTGGGTGGAGAGTGTGCGGGGCGCCGGGGAGAAGGGAGGCTGTCACCCCCCTTTCTGTGCTCCTCAGGAACCCACCACCCCCCTCCCTCTGCCCTGATGGACTGAAGAGCCGCAACTTCCCCAGGGAGGTGCGCCAGAAGCTGCAGAGCTTCGCCTCAGGCGTGAGCAGCAGCCCCAGCAAGGCCGAGCGGGTGAGCGCCATCTGTGGGGCGACCGGCCGCCGTACGTGCGTGCAGCCCCTCCCCCGGGCCCCCCTCCCCTGTACTCTCCCCCCCAGCACCCGCCCCCGGGCCCAGACCCCGTGTCCCTGCAGGAGGCCCTGGCCGCGGAGACCAGCCTGTCCGTGGAGCAGGTCTACAACTGGTTTGCCAACTACCGCCGGCGCCAGAGGGCGAGTCTCCAGCGTCTGGACCCGGAGCCCTCAGGCCCCCACCACCCCAGGCTCGTGGGCGGGCACCCGCCTCCGTGGGCAGGTGAGTGGCCCCCGGGTCCTGTGCTGGGAGCTGACCTTGGACACCGTGTCCAGGCCCAGGCCTCACCCTGACCCTGACCACCTCCCCCTGAGGAGCAGGAACAGAGGCTGAGGGTCAGACGGGCTGCCGCTGCCCTCGTGTGTGTGTGTGTGTGTGTGTGTGTGTGTGTGTGTGTGTGCGCCCGCATGTGCGTGCGCGCGCACACATGCCAGGACCATGTCTTTCCACAGGAGGCGAGGACCACGGGCCGGCACGGACCCTGGTGACCACGCAGGGGCTGTGGCAGCCTCCGGTCCTGGCCCCTGACGTTCCTGGAGATGAGACGGAGCCCGAATCGCTGACTCACAGGTATTGCCGCTCCCGTGGGCTGTTCTCCCGGCTCAGCTCCCCCCACCCCCATAGGAGAACGGGTGGGGAGCGAGCACGGGCTGCTGGGCCAGCCGGGACCCGGTCCGAGAGGGCTGTGGGCGCAGGGGTGCGGCCGCCCCAGCCAGGAGCCCAGGTCAGTGACCTGGCACTTGTCCACCGAGACTGGCTCACAGCCTGGTGTCCTGAGCACGAGGGAGGAGGGAAAACAGAAAGAAACACCCAATCCCTCCACCTGAAGGCACACCCGGCTGTTGTCTTTGTTTTTTCCTGGTGTTTCCTGTTGCTGATTTCCCTGAGCTGATCCTGTTCTCTCTGCCGGTTCCCACTGCACCAGGATCGTGCCTGGGCCTGGCACCTGCTGTCTGGGGGCAGCACCTGTCTTGTGGTCTCTCTCTATGCACCTGTGGAGTGGGGGCTGGTAGGCCCCGCCCTGTGGTGGTTGCAATGGTTTCAGGAGCACCAACTGGACACTGAGCATTTGTGGATCTTTAATTCTTTCTATATCTATATATATCTATATATCTATATCTATATCTATATAAATTTTTTAAAATATATGTTTTATTGATTTTTCACAGAGAGGAAGAGAGAAGAATAGAGAGTTAGAAACATCGATGAGAGAGAGTCATCGACCAGCTGCCTCCTGCACACACCCCCCCCACTGGGGATGTTCCCGCAACCAAGATCCATGATCTTGACCGGAATCGAACCTGAAATCCTTCAGTCCCCAGGCCGAGGCTCTATGCACTGAGCCACAACCGTTTCAGCTGGATCATTAATTAGTTTTTTTTAAAATATACTTAATTGATTTTTTACAGAGAGGAAGAGAGAGGGAGGGAGATACAAACATCAATGCTAGAGAAACATCAACCAGTTGCTTACTGCACACCCCCCATTGGGGATGTGCTCACAACCAAGGTACATGCCCTTGACCGAAATCGAACCTTGGACTCTTCAGTCCGCAGACCGATGCTCTATCTACTGAGCCACACCGGTTTCAGCTGGATCCTTATTTCTCTACATTATTGTCCCCTGCTGCCTGGTGTTCCTTTGAGACCAACCCTTGTTTATTCAGTCTCCATGTTGGCCCTTTCTAACCACGTCTGGCTTTCAGTGTTGTGGGCCTTTGAAGGAACTGCGTGCGTTTCTACGTTGGGTTTCCCGTCATACTTCCTAAGTGTCTGTAGAGCGTCTGCAGCCACAGGGGGAGCAGTGAAGGCAGCAGGATCGGGGAGTGGTGTCCCCTGCGGGCAGGGACTGTCCCTGCCGGAGCGAGCCCCTGTCCACTGAGGGACAGTGTTGGTGGGTTTCCCAGCTCCCTGCAGGGCGGCGAGATGTACCCAGAGGGGCCTGGCCACGACCCGTCCACTCTCCCCGCCGCCTGTCCTGACCCTGGCCTCGGGGGGCTGGCTGCCTGCAGCGACTTCCTGGACCCTTCTGCCGCCCCCAAACCGTGGCTGGTGTCCCTCACACTGGGCCCCCCCGGGGACACCTCCGCCCCGACCGCACCGCTGGTGCCCGGCCCCGGGCTGCACTTCTGGATGCCCCCTTCGGACGCCTCTCTGTCCATGTCCATCGCTACGCTCGCCGAGCCCAGCTCCACCGGTGAGTCCACTCCGCTGGGACCAGGAGTGTCTGCACCAGAGGCTGCAGCCCTGGGAGGCTCCCGGGTGGGGGTATGGGAGGCATCAGGGTTTCCACCTGAACCCTGTGTTTGATCAGACCCAGAACCAGTGAACCTTAGGTTGAGGGGACAGTTTGCATACTAGCCTTTTATTCTGTAGGATAGAAACTGAGTGTCATATGCAAATTGACTTGTTATTCCAACATACAAGATGGCCTCCCCCATGTCGTAAAAAAGATGGCTGCCCTCGTGGACAACAAGATGGTTGGCAGGGGAGAGAAATTGTGGGCGATCAGGCCATCAGAGGAGGGCCGTTCTGGGCAATCAAGCCAGGAGGAGAGTGCAGTTTGGGGTAACCAGGACTGCAGGAAAGGGCATTTAGGGGGGACCTAGACCTGTAGGGGAGGACAGTTAGAGGCGACCAGGCCTGCAGGAGAGGGCAGTTGTGGGTGACCAGGCCTGCAGGGGAGGGCAGTTGGGGCCAACCAGGTTTTAGTGGGCAGCGGCCTTTCCTACATGCAGGGTTCCCTGACCCGCCCGGCAGCCACTCGCAGAGCACATTCCTGGAGGAGGGTCCTGGCACCAGCGTCAGCCATGCAGGACAGGCGGGCAGCTTGCTGGTGACCCCGCCCCCACCACAGGCTCCAGAGCTGGTCCTGCCCCAGAGGTAAGGCCGGAGCCCAGCTCACAGCACTGGCTCAGCTTGTGCTGAAGTCCTTTGCTCAGTTTCTGGAAACCACAGCCGTCCCCTAGCCTGTGTCTCCAAAGAGAAGAGGGTGGTTTGCGCTCAGACAGGACTCCTGGGACTCGAATGGATATGACATCTGTGCTGTGGACGGTGTTTAGGCCTGAGATTCCCTGGCACCCAGATTTCTGGCATTTTCTTTCCCAGCTAAAGGCTGTCAGGATTTCTGAGCCGCATAGAGATCCTGGTTTTATTCCAGAGTGAAGGATTTTGTTGTTGTTGTTGTTTTTTAAATGTATTTTATTGATTTTTTTACAGAGTAAGAGAGAGAAATAGAGAACTAGAAATGTCCATGAGAGAAATATCGACCAGCTGCCTCTTGCACACCTCCTACTGGGGATGTGCCTGCAACCAATGTACATGCCCTTGACTGTAATCGAACCTGGGACCTTTCAGTCCCCAGACTTACGCTCTACCACTGAGCCACACTGGTTTCGGCCAGAGTGAAGTTTTAAAGGCCTTGGCAGCCTAGGTGCCATGGCGTGGCCGTGGGGCAGGGAAAAGGGTCCAGGAGCCGGCACACAGGAGGGACGGACGAATGTGCTGGGGGAAGGGTGGCATCCTCTGCTGGATTGAATTTCTGAGAGGGACCCCCAGGACTGGGGTCCCAGAGTTTGTGTCTCACAAACCTGACCCTGAAGGCCAGGTGCCGAGCGAGGACAATGATTGGGGGACATGAGAGGAGTGGGGCAATCCCACGTCAGATGGTGGGAGAACTCTGCCCGTCCCCATAGTGACATGGAGTCCGGGACAAACGTGTGCGATTGCCTTTAGGGACCTGCCAGCAGGTCTCCTGGGAGCCGCACCGCCACCATCCCCGACATCCCTCTGCTCCCTCGTTGGGTGTAAGGTGCTCTGTTTCCCTCCCCCCAGCCCGTCCCCTCTACGTGACCTTCTCGCTGCTCCTGTCCTGTGAGCCGCTCTGGGGCACTCCCCACTGACCCACAGGCCCTGCAGGGCGCTGTGCCCCCAGGGCTCGGGGACGAGATGGGTGTGAGGGTCTGGCACCTGGGGGGCTCCTGAGGGGCAGACACCCTCAGGCATGTTTCCCACAGGCTGGGAGGGGAGGCTCGGCGCCCACGGGAGACCAGCCCTGTCCTGACGTGGCCTCTCTTCCAGCGTCCCGGAGCTGGCTCCTGCCCCATCGGCCTTTCCCGGGCCTGTGCCCACTGGACAGCGGAGCGAGCCCCTGCCCTCCATCCCGGTGAGCTCTCCTAGGGGCACCATGGGTCCTTCCTCCTGGACTCACACCTGCCTTTGGAGGGAGCACGTCGGCCAGCGATGAGGTGGGGGAGCCGGGCCGGGGCGCCTGCGTGTGCAATGCTATGTCAGCTTTCCAGGTGCCGTGGCCCGACCGCCAGGCCTCCGGTGACGCCTTCTGGGTGGCCAGCATGCTCCTGGAGCTCGCAGGGGGCAACCTGGGCTGAGCCGCCCCCGGGTGCCAGGCCCGCATCCCAGGGGAGACAGCTGTGGACATTCGACCGTTCAAGTTCCAGAGCCTCATCCCAATGAGAAGAGGAGGCTCCGCCTTCCCTGGGGCTCCACTGGGCGGTGTGTGCCCCCGGCCCGCGCCCTGTTTGCCCCGTTTGCCCCGTTGTTTATGTCTCTGCTGGGAGGTGTGTGCCCCCGGCCGTGCCCCTTTTGCCCCGTTTTCTGGCAGCTCCCGATGTGGGAGGAAGCGTTTGAGAAATGCTCCACGATCCCAAGTCCACGGGTGTGTGTTCCACTCAGACCACGGCGGATGTCAGGGCCACCCCCGAGCAGCCGTGGGCAGGAGACTGTCCCCCTGCCGGCCACTCGCCCGCCTGCTCTGTGCCCTGCGCCCTGCGCCCTGCGGCAGGACAGATGCCCCCAGCTGACATGGATTGTGTGAGTGGGCGGCATTTCTGTGCCTGGGGGGCTTCTCCCAGTTGCATGTGCCATCCCAGCAGGTGGCGGGTGCCGTTCATTCTTAGGTTGTAATCTGTTGTGTTTTCCACATGTTCTGTTCCATTAAATGAAAGTTTCATGCTCTGTACGCCTCGTGTGTATTCAGCTGAGCGCTGCCTGCCTCACGTGGTGTCGCGTGTCTCCGTGTCACACTATGGTCACGGGGACATCTCTGCCATCTGCCCTGACCTGACCGGATGGTGCTGTTGTGGGAGCAGGAGCTGCCCTGGGGGTGGCAGTGGCCGGACACAAGCACACGGCCCCTGGCGCCCTCTGTGTGGCGCACCCCCTGTCGCCGGTTATCCCCTTGGCACAGGTGACGCTGACACTCAGGACTGTCGCCTTCAGGAATCGTCCTAAGAGCCTCACCTTTTCTATGGTGCCCGGTGACGTGTCCTGAACAGGTTGTGTTACCGTGAGGAACAAAGGCAGTGTGTGCCCCTGGTGCTCATGGGATACCGTGGAGATGGGAACAGCAGGCAGTCCTGAGGCGTTGCCAGTAGAATGTAGTGAATGAGGGCCGCTGGGATCCAGGGTGTGTGGAAGCCAGCGCTTGAGTGGCTAGACGCTGGGAGCTCCCTGAGCTCAGCCACCACAGCCGAGGGCCCTCTCCGCCTCCTCCACTCCGCCCTGTGAACCTGGGGCCCATCTCATCCCACCCTCATGGCCAGAACCTTTCACCCTTTACACATTCGTTCATACCCCTCATGTTTATATATATATATATATATATATATATATATATATATATATATAAAATAGATTTTTTACCGAGAGGAAGGGAGAGATATAGTTAGAAACATCGATGAGAGAGAAAACATCGATCAGCTTCCTCTTGCACGCCCCCTACTGGGGATGTGGCTGCAACCAAGGTATATACCCTTGACCAGAATCGAACCTGGGACCCTTCAGTCTGCAGGCTGACGCTGTATCCATTGAGCCAAACTGGTTTCGGTATCCCTCACGTTTTTCATTCCCCCAAACCACCAGCCTTTGATTTTAAAAATCTTACCTAATAATAGAGAAACATGTATTTTCACTGTACCTTTGCTGCACCCATAGACAATCAGAGTGAGTATGCAAATTAGCCAAACAAAGATGGAGGTTATTTTGCATATATACTTAGGTCCCAGGCACCTCCTTGGCACCCAGGTCACTCCCAGCCGGCCATCGGAGGGCCCAGGCCTGTCATCGGAGTGGTAGGGCACTTCCCAATCTTAAAGCCTGGGGCTTGCGAAGGGGCCGAGCCTGGGACTAAACACAGGCTATCCAGAAGGCAACGCTGGGTTGTCCAGCTGCAGCCTGGCAACCCATCACTGACTGCTCAGTTGGCTGAGACCCAGAAAGTGATTCATGGTCCGATCTGCAGTCTCAGTGGAAGCTGTTGATCAGTGCACCTATCTCTTGCTTTCTCTCCCTCTTTCTGATCTCTGCCAGTAGCCAGGCTTTTCTTTCTCTCCTAGCCTACTTGGGGGCTGCTGTTAAACCCAGTCTGTGATCAGGCCCAGTGATAGGCCTGGAGATGCTGACTGGCATAGGAACCAACCAATCATAGCCAAACTTTGTTGCTGTGGGGTACCAATGTCTCCTAGGAGGCAGAGCTTCTGACGCTTACTGGCAGAGGAACTGGCCAATCAGAGCCAAATCTTATTTACTTCCAATATTGCTTCATACTTTTTCAATTTACTCCAGTGACATTAGGTTAAGATTCAGTACTTTTTTCTCCTTATAAATTAGCTGTAAACACATTTTTTTTGAATAAAATAATCTAGTTAATACTTTGGTTTTGAATCCTGTTCTTGTAACTCAGAAGGTTCTGTTCAATACCGTATGCCTCTTTCAGAATGAAACATGCTAAGAGCAAGCATCCTTTATTTTGTGATTTTTCAGAATGTAATCATAGAGCATAATTATACACTGGTTTATGGGATAAACGCTTATAATTTTTTCTTTAATTAAGTTACTGATTATGCTGTCCATGTCTATAGATCTCTGTATTACTATGCTAGCCCTTATGGGACACTGTAAGCCAATTCCAGCTCAAAAATAATCCTCTGCTGCCCTCCTGTGGTCATTCAAGGAATAATACGCGATGCCTCTGTCCGTGGTTCTGAAATCTCAGGTAAAGCCCCGTGAACACGACCAAAATTTCTACCCAAAAAAAAACACCTCCACAAAATCCTCGATGCTGTCCAAGGCAGCGATCATTGTCTAGTTACGGCTCTGTGTTCTTATCTCTTCCCGCCCCTGCTCCGCAAAGGGAGGCCCCCATAGACCGCTGCACTGAGGTTCCACTTACGGTGATCCTCCCACCCACCCTGCCTAATATGTTCGCTGGTGCCGTTGTTAACTGGAGTGGTGAGTATGTGTCTGGCAAGCAAATGCTCTAAATAGTGAGCAACACCAGCTACGAATTGCATGCACTTTTGTTGTTCTTATTTTGAATTTATTTTTACGTCTAATTGGCATACAGTAATACATTACTTTCCCGTGTACAACACTGTGATTGAACATTTATATCCCTTACTTAGTGATTACCCCACCAGTCTATCTCACATCTGTCTCATATGCCTGTGCTGCAGTTACATCTCGATGCCTTATTACCTAAGTGGTGGTGTGGACTTTTTCAGCCCCAGTGGGGACAACCCAGGGCTGGTGCTGTTCAAGGTGAATAGTGAGCAAGATGCTTGCAGAAGAGCAGTTGGAGGCTAATGCGTTTCAGAGGGTCGAGGGGCTGTGTCCTGGAGCAGTGTGTGTGACTGCAACACTTCAGGGGCTTAGGCTAAAGGAGCAGTGGCTATTTGGAGCTGATTGAGAGTAGGATGTGAGACTCAAAGTCTCCTGCAGCTGCTGTCACAAGACATGTTTTTCCAGAAGCTCTAGGGAGAACAGGCAAGCCTCCTATATCCCCTGAGAGAGGAACACCCTGGATATCCCACAGGTCCCAGTGCGATTACAGACGCCCTTATAAGGAGGCTGCAGTAGGGTCAGAAGCGGACAGATAGATGTGACTGTGCTTCTGGCTGTGGATGATGGAGGCCAAAGGAGAGGCATGTCTTGGGGGAGGCTCCAGTGTCATTGTGGGCTTGTCCTCCCCGCGGTTGTGGATGCCATGCAACATGTCCTGCATGTTCTGGTGGAACATGCGGTTGATATGTCCTTGACCATCCTGAGGGCCCTAAGGACGGTGGTTGGAGGGCCAGAGACCCGGGATGCCCGATGCCAGATGGTGTGCAGGGACCAGGTACTGCCTTGCTCCCTGGGGAGCAGTGCTCTGCCGCCACCACTGCGGGGCATGCAACCAGGGCAGTCCCTCGGCAAGATCCACTGGGCAGGCTACGCCCCATTCCCTTCCCCTCAGGCTCTGTCTACTCACTTTTAAAAATATTAATTTTAGGGCAGTCAAGGGTCAGAGGCTAAGGCTGGGACTTGGGCTACGGCTGGGGTTGATGTTAGGGATTCAGGGTGAGGGGTCAATGTTGTGGTCAGAAGTGGAAAAGGTAAATTATAATTGGAAAGAGAATTTGCTTCTCAAAAGATGAGTTTGGTTTGCTGAAGATGAATTTGAGGTGTGTTTCAAAATGTGAATTACTCTGTATTTGAGAAGCATCCAAAGGAGTCACTCTTTCCAGGATCCTAGTCAATTCTAACATTGCTTCATATTTTTTCAAGTTACTTCTGTGACAGAGTTATTATTACTGAGCCATTTTAAAAAATGTTAGTAAATTAGTTGTAAATAAGTTTTTTTTCTGATTAAAATATTGTCTTTAATAGTTTTGTGTTGCATCACATTTATTTTGAACCGTGTTCGGGTAACTTAAGGTCTTCTGTTAGATACCTATGCCTGTTTCTTTCAAAATTGAAAGATAAAGTAATCCTGTAGAAATATGTTTAGTAAGGACTCCTTATTTTGTTATTTATCAGAATTTAATCATACATACAGCAGAGTTATACACTAGTTTTATAGGTTAAGGCTTTCATTTTCCTTCAAGTTAGTTACTGTGTATACTGTACACGTCTGTCTATGGACCTTCAAAGGAAGCTGTCAGATCAAAAACTATCCTCTGCTGCCCTCCTGTGGCCATTCAAGGAATGACACACTGCCTCTGTCCCTGGTGCTCAAATCCCAGCTAAAGCCCTGTGAAGCCAACTAAAAATTCTACCCAGGAAAACATGGTCAAAATTTCAGCGAGGCTGGTCAGGGCGGCAATCATTCCATCCCTGGAAGGACCGCAGTCACAGTTGTGTGTTCTTCACCTCTTCCTACTCCAGCGAGGTACTGGAGTAGTGTGAGAAGTAGTGTCCTTGCGAGAGGCTACCATAATCCAATAATAAGGCATGCAAGACATCACAGGTATCCTTCACTAAGGTTATTAGTCATAAGTTTACAAGTTACTAAGATACTGGTTACTAGTTACCAGTGTACATGTTACTGCTTACTAGTTACACGGTTAGCAGGTAACTGATTGCCTGGTTACTGGTAAACTGGTAAACTGGTTACCAGGTAACTGGTGGCCAGGTTATTACTTGCCATGTTACTAATTGCCTGGTTGCTAGTTACCTGGTTACTAGTTACCAGACTATGGTTACTATGATAGTTACCAGTTTACTTTAGTAGCCATGAAAAAATTAACACTGTATGCTTATGTCTG